GGGCCCGTGGAACCACTGACCGGGCCCGGCACCCGCTCGCAATCCACGCAGGGACCGTGGACCTGTGGACCGGGCCCGGCACCCGCTCACAATCCACGCAGGGCCTGTGGAGGCACTGACCGGGCCCACTGTACTGAGCAGACCACGGGGCCGCTGGGCACGTGCCTGAGCCACCAGCCGTCAGGTGACCGAGTGTGAGTGTGCCACCTGCCTGCACTGGGCCAGGCAGCACCTTGTCCTGCAGGAAAGAGAACTCTGCGGAGTGATCGCGCTAAGAACAATGGGGTGTCTTCTGCCCTCCTTGTGTGGACAGACCCTAGCACATGGACTTGCCTGCCCCGTAGCCTGACTGCAGGTGTCCTGAGGGCCCTTCCCTTCCGAACCACCCTGACGTGGCACGCTGGATGGTGAGAGAGCCCGTGTGCTTGGCGGGGGTGGGGTGGGGAGGGTGGGTCCCACACGGGAGGCTGTGAGTCCCCGTTCAGGGGCAGCCCGGCTCCTTATCACCCTTCCGCCCGGCGCCTGACCGGAGCGGTGTGCCGCAGAACGTTCACCACTTTCAGCTAAGCCGCCGTTTAAACATCGTTCACTCAGCCCGGGGGGCCCTTAAGGTGCTTAGAGGCAAGAAAGCTTGACCCGAAGCCACGTGCCGGGGAAGCCTCTTCAAACAGAACTTGTTCCGCCTGGTGCCACGTTGGGCCTGGGGGTCTGCGTCCACCGGCACCACGGGGACATCCGGGCGGGGTGACAGAGCGGAGCCACGCGGCAGGCAGCGCGCCAGCCGCAGGACGCGCCCGGAGCGCGGACACACGCACTGGGCGTGCTCCCCCGCCAGGTGGCTGAGGCGCACACCCCTCCTCGTCACACTCACAGACACGGCGCCAGGCTGAGCGCACCTACGGCCACGGGCACTTACCGTCGTCCAGGTACAGCTGGTCCAGCTCCTGAGGCTCTCGCTTGACCGTTACGGGAAAGGGAGCCAGACTATGACTACTGTCCTCACGCACCTCGGGCAGCGGCGGGGGCCGGGGGGCTGCAGACTCGCTCCTCGGAGCCTTCGGCAGTCGGTGCTGCTGGCGGCCCATCTCGGATGGGCGGGTAGGGCTGCAGGACTGCAAACAGGTCGGCTCTTGGGTACCGGACGGTGGTGAGGAGGAGGGGCTGTCAGGACAGAGAGCTGGCCGGAGGCCCAGGGGACAGCCGCTGCTCAGCCGTGCACTCACCTGTGGTTGCAGCAGGGCGGGGGGCGGCTGCTGGGGGGGCCCAGGGTGCACGCCCACAGGCCTCGGCGTCTCCCGAACGGCGAGCACCCCTCCGGCCGGCCGCTGAAGTCCAAGGTGGCCGTGGCCCTGGCTGGCCGTGCCCTTGCCGTAGGCAGCAGAAGACAGGTCGTGGAGCTCCTGGCCGGTGCCGGGTGGCGGCGACACCACGGTGCTTCTCTGCGGACAGGGCGGGAAGCCGGCCACCAGGCAGGAGCCCGGGTCGGGTGGCACCACGAGCTGCTGGCTGAAGCGCGGCTGCGGGAGCGGGCTCAGGCCCTGGCCCCCTGGCCCACAGGTCAGGGCAGGCTCGTGGTCGTCTGCGGGCTCTGTTTTTATGGTTGGAGCTGCAAGAAGGAAAGGAGAGGAATGAACACGGGCTGCAGACGCCGTGATGGGTGGGGGACGGGGCGGGCTGTGGCCAGGACGCCCTTGCAAAATAAACAGCGTCCCGAGTCCCCGTGCGTCTCCGCCTGGTTCTCCCACCCAATTAAGAGGAGGGTGTGAGTCACCGTCTCCAGAAAGCTGCAGCTGGTTCTAATACTGAGAACACTGTTTTGCTTGGAATCCCCCCCAGCACTAATGTGCTATAAAAATCCATTTGCAAACTGCAGTAGAAGCTTTGGACCCAAGGGCCCGCGGATTTGTAGCAATCAAAGCGAAAATTTTAACTTGGATGTACAACCGCCTTCCTCCTGCTACCGACGCCCTATCTGATAAACGTCTGCACGTTTGGTGAACTCGAACACGCACCGAGGTGGCGCGGAGATGTCCGGAAACCCTGAGAGAAACGGTCCGCGACTACGCGGCGGGGGGAAGCCTCTGACGTGCGGGGAGAACGCACCCACCCAGGCGGCTCCGTGAGGCAGCCGCCTCGGAGCCACAGGCCACCCCAACCACACAGCTGGGGTGCGGCTCTGGGCCGTCCCGTCTCCCCGCGCCGGGAAGCAGGGCCGTGAGGCAGACAGCAGGACAGCGGCCCGTCCTCTCTGCCAGACCTGGGCCAGACGGCGCGAGCGGCTCCGGCTTCCAAAACGGGGCGGGTGTGCTGTGGGTTTTCGCGGGACCCGCTCCGTCCTCCCACCTTCCCGTATCTCCTGCCCCCGCGCGCTCCCAGGGCCCCGCCTCCTCGCCTGTTCCCCAAAGCCGGCTCACGGCGCACCTGGTGCCGCGACGGTCACCCACGCAGCCGAAGGTCTCCTGGGTGAGGGGCTGTCTAGAGACCTTCCCACCCACCCTCCCCTCTCTTCCTAGGAGACCGACGCGTGAGGGATGCGTGGCGGTGGGGTCCGCCGCACTGGGGGAACCAGCCTGTGGGCCGCGTGGCCCCGGCCTCGGCCCTCACTAGAGCACGTCCGCGCCCCGAGACCTGCCGGCCGCCGTGGACGGCAGGGCCACTTCTTACGCAGCAGCGCCTACGAGGCACGGCCCCTGAGGTGGTGACCGGCTCCATCTAATCTCCGTTCGAAGGCGGCGCCCGCGCTATGTGACCGGCAGGTTCCCGGTTGTCTAGCTCCCCTCAGAGCCGCCAAGTCCTGGTGCTCGGCTCCTGGGGCTTGCCACAGGATCGCTCTCTTTTGCTTCGCGTTTTTGGGGGCAGGAGGGCCGGACAGAGAGCAGCAGAGCAAGGGGTGGCGTTCACACCGGGCACCGTGGGGGCGCCGGGCAGGTGTGCGTCAGCTGCGTGTCCCCAAGGGCCGCTACACGCACACCGCTCTTGCACTCTTGCCGGGTGAGCGCACTCTCTTCCGCGGGACCCGGGGAGCAGGGCTTTGGTTGCGGGCGAGTCCCAGCGTGGGGGCGTCCAGAGAAAAGCGCAGTTGGCCGCAGGAGGGACCCAGGAAGAGCAGCTCTTCTCAGGGTGGCGTTTTATCGCTGCGTGTCCATCACACGTGCTCTGGGCCACCGTCACGGGTCTCTGGGAGGAGCCAGGACCCGCGAGGGCCTGGGTGCGCGTGCGGAAGAGCGGGCCTTGCTCCTCACGGGGGCCACAGTGACCTCGGGCCCCTGGCCCAGGAGCCCCCGGCTGGCCCCACCTGAGGCGCGGTGCGTCCCTAGGCTCCAGCGTCCACGCGCGTGCGTGGGAACAGTGGCCGTGTCGGGTGGCCCCTCAGAAGCCCTCGCGCCCCTGGGGGCTCTCTGTTAACTTCCGTCCACCCAGCAGTGGCCACCACTGACTCTGGAGCTGCTGTGGCCGGGGTTTCTGCCATCGAGCCCCCCCCAACCCCCAGCCGCGGGGCCTCTGGCTCGGCAGCCCGCCTCTGGGGAGAGGCTGTGCCGTGCGGCGCAGCCTGACGCGGCCTCCCCAAGGTGGGGCGCGAGCTGGACCTCCAGCTGCCCCGCGGTTAACAGGGCACAGTGCTGGGCCCCCGCTCACGTCACACCCAAAGTGCCGGGTGGCAGGGGACGCGGCCTGCAGGGTGACAGTGTTCCCAGGCAGGACCGCCCCGGCCTGCTTCCCGCACACTGTGAATCCGGAACGGCCCAGGCGACAGTCAGGCCCAGAGAGGCAGACAGGCCTTCACCTTCTGGCGGGGCCCCAGGAACTCGGTCCAGCGGGGACGTGCCGGCGAACGGAACGGCGGAGGTTAAATTCCGAATTCGCTGGGTCGCTTTCAAGTTCCTGATCTTGAGAACACGTACATGTCTGGCGGATTAAACGAAACCCTACTGGGACTCTGTCTTCACTGCACTGGATTTCCAGCCAGGCACGGGGCCCACTCGTCTCTCCCGCGAGGTGTCCCCTGAGCTCTTTAAAAACTCCTATCCCGTCTGCACTGAGCCTCAGAACCGCACAGGCAAACCAGCTGCCGGGAAAGGCCGGCCAGCGCGACTCAGCCGCCACGTAGGGATGGGGCTCGGTGCGAGCGGCCAGAACCGGGGACCCCGGGAGGCTGGTCAGAGGCCCGGCAGCCGCCCTCGGCGGGCAGGGGCGAGCTGGGGTCTGCTGGCTCGTGCATGCTGTTTATGACCTGTTTAAGGCCTCCCAGTGGCACCGGCATTAACTCCCGTGTCACTGGGCTCCCCAGGACCTTCTGGAAAAGCTTTCGCAGCGTGGGGCCTGCCCCACAGGACACGGGTCACCGTCCAATGGTGTGTGGGGGGGGGGGCAGTGGAGAGTCGTGGCAGGACCGACGCCATGGGGCTGGACCACACCCCGTCCAGCCGGCCTGGCCCCCACGGGCTCCTCGGTACTGCAGTGCCCGGTGCCCACGTCCCTCCTGTGTTTGCAGCCGAGACCCCACCAACCCCATGAGGTGGGCCTGACCTCTGCCTAAAGCCCCTGGACAGACTCCCTCAGGGAATAAACTGACACAGTGGCCCCCCTGTGCTCGAGGGTCCCACACAGGCCAGGGACCACGGGTGACAGAGGAGCCACCAAGAGAGAGACCCCGGGGCTCAGGGCCGGGGGGTGGGAGCCACAGGAGGACAGGCCCGACCACAGGCGAAGGGCAGCAGACACAGGGGCGGATGTGCTCTGGGAACCAGGCCCGGGGACGCGGGACATCCACGCGGCAGCCACAGTTCCCGCCGTCCCCGTGGCACCTTCAGGGGCTCCAAGCATGAACATCCGGCGTCTAATCACACTTCTTGTGTTGGATTTCAAAGCAAATGCGCGTCCTCGCTGTAAATCAGAGCGAGACGCCGCCTCCTGTTTCCTATTAGCGAGGGAAGAAAGGGGCCGCGTCCTGCGCGGGGCCCTGGGCGGTGCGGAAAGCGCTGGGGGGCCGCGGCCACGGCCGAGAGCAGCTTCCTTCCAGACCTGGCGCTTGGTGTGACGCCATGTCTGGTTCCTTCCCGCCGTCCACCTCACTGGCCTGGGCGGGGGGCCGGGACAGGAGGCGAGTTTATAATCCAGATTCATTACGGCAAACGTGCGGGAGATTAGTGTTAATCTCGAAGGCGGCCGCCGCTCACAAAGCCTGTTCTCATGGCAGAGGCGGGGTGCCACCCCAGCCGTGCTGGCGTTCACACCCCGAGCGCAGCGACCGCGTTCTGCGGAGGAGAGAGCAGACGTCCCCTTGACCCCCCGAAGCCGGGCACCCCGTGCCCTGGCAAAGGGCGGCTGTCTCAGGAGGGGCTTTGCCCCCAAACAGGACCTCTGGTCCCCAGGCTGCAGCGCCTTCTCTCCTGGGCCGTGTGGCAGGCATGCCTCTCCGCAAGGACCCCGCTCCACCCACAGCCCCTGCAATGGCCATCTGTGGACCAAAGACCATTCCAGAACATCCTGGCCTGGCTCGAAGAAACCCCATGTCTGGCAAATGGGCCCGACCCCCCCCCCCCCACACACACACACACACAGCAGCGGCTTCCTGTTCAGCAGGTGATGTAGCAGGACCCAGAAGCTGGGTCGGGGCTTTGGCCCCCAGGCAGTCCCCGACCCCCAGGACCCCTCCCAGATGGAGAGGGCAGTGGCCGGGACCAGCTCCCACAGCTGCCCCAGAGCAACGTGACAGGACTCCCTCCAGAAAATGCTCAGACCATCCCGAGGCCTGTGAGCCAGTACGGACACATGTGATGGCCTCCCCCAAGCGGACAGGGGGACATGGTCCCCTCTTACACCAGACCAGCCGTCCCAAGTCTTCCCCATGTCCTGCCCATGATCAGACACACCCTGTCCTCTTGCTGAAGAGCAAAGTCGAGCAATTCAATTTCGAAATGCTGTTGGGGCCAACCCTCCAGCTCAGGGGCCCGAGAAGACAAAGGCGCTTCCCGTTTGTAATGGAAACGTCGGGGGAACTCCCCACCCCCCCCATCAGCACCTCAGCTACCTAAAAGCAAAGCCGTTCTTCGAGTCCTGCGTCCCCAAACATCAGCGATCTCGTGGCCCCAGCACCTGAGCCAGTACTCAGATTCCGATTAACGAAGCAGGACGCAAGTTGTGAAATGCTCTCCAGTCCCAAAGCTGGTGAGCAGAAAGCACAATTCCTATCTGCCGCCTTTCCTTTTAAATATTCCTTCCTAGATGTGCGGCCTGCTGCACACACGGAACGGGGGACGAGAGACCCGCACCTCGGGGAGCACACACAGACGGGGGGCCTGAGTCCTGCAGTGACCCACGGGCTGCACAGTCACTGGCTAACTGCAGAACTCCTGTGGGCCTGCTTCCCTATCCCCAGGACAGAGTCCCACCTACCCAGCAAATGGCAAGGGGGCCACATGGGCAGTCCGCGTGCGGGGGCTACTGGTGCGTGCCCCCCGTTTGCAAACCCCTGCCTCTGCTGGCACCGGGAGAAGTGGGGGTTTGCGAGTCAGGGCCCCGCTCTTTGGCCTCGGATAGGCCAGAGACACTGCGACTAACCACACTGTGTCCCCCAAACCCATAGGTTGAAGGCCTAGCCTCGCC